CTTCCTGCTGACTTTAGGTCCAATCTGCATGATTTATCTCTATTTGCGTGTTTGTACCAAACAGCCCTGGATGCCCCCAAAGACCTGTCTGTAGCAGAGGTAACGGAGACCACCATGACGCTGGAGTGGAAGCGGCCGGTGGCCAAACTGGACTCCTACAGGCTGGTCTACGTGTCTGCTGATGGTCAGAGGGCTGAAGACACGGTGGCAGCCAGCTCTGACTCTCACACCCTGAGGGGCCTGAACCCTGGCATGATGTACACCGTCAGCATGACCGCAGAGCGGGGCCGCAGGAACAGCGTCCCCGCCACCGTCTCAGCTCCCACAGGTCAGCATGTCCAGCTGCTTTCTGCCGCATCATGAGCTGCTTTAGGACGACACAGCAGAATGGAAGACAGGTTCTAGTTAGCATTTAGATAAACCATGACCAGAACATCACTAACCATGACCTATTAACCCAACCATTACCAGCAGAGTTCTCACTCTGATACTAAAACAGCAGATCCCCCCCCCCCCCCCCAACACAACCAGCGATAGACAGGAGAGGCTGTCTGGGAAACCAGTTTGATCCAGTTAAGGATTATTTTCAGACATTAGTTTCTAGTAAAATGTTTAGAAGATGCTGAACTCTGCACGCCTCTCCATGGCTCCAGCTTCCACTGCCGGCCGCTTTGGGCTGCAGGTGGAATCCAGCTGGGCTGGGAGAGGCGTCCGCCTGACACACATCCCTCACTCAGGGAAAAACCTGAATTTGCTCATCAAGCATTTAACTCCAGGTTCTCTGAACGAGCAGAAAGATAAAGCTACAGATCGTTTCTCCTTAACTGCTGGGCAACAAGCAGCAAACTGCCCGACCGCTGCTCTCCTGGCTTGGCTCTTAGAGACGCTCGCTGGTCCATCTGATAGGATCAAATATGGCTTCCAGGATCATTTCTCTCTATGAGAAAAAACAAACAAAGAATCTGAACTAGAAGGTTTGTTTAGCTGAAAATATGAATGAAACTGTTCCAGGGGTGTGATGGTGGTGCTGAGGTGAGGGTGGGGGGTTATAGAGGTGAGGGTGGGGGGGTTATTGAGGTGAGGGTGGGGGGTTATAGAGGTGAGGGTGGGGGTTATAGAGGTGAGGGTGGGGGGTTATAGAGGTGAGGGTGGGGGGGTTATTGAGGTGAGGGTGGGGGGGTTATTGAGGTGAGGGTGGGGGTTATAGAGGTGAGGGTGGGGGTTATAGAGGTGAGGGTGGGGGGGTTATTGAGGTGAGGGTGGGGGTTATAGAGGTGAGGGTGGGGGGGTTATTGAGGTGCGGGTGGGGGTTATAGAGGTGAGGGTGGGGGGTTTATTGAGGTGAGGGTGGGGGGGTTATAGAGGTGAGGGTGGGGGGGTTATAGAGGTGAGGGTGGGGGGGTTATTGAGGTGCGGGTGGGGGTTATAGAGGTGAGGGTGGGGGGTTATTGAGGTGAGGGTGGGGGGGTTATAGAGGTGAGGGTGGGGGGGTTATTGAGGTGCGGGTGGGGGGGTTATAGAGGTGAGGGTGGGGGGGTTATAGAGGTGAGGGTGGGGGGGTTATTGAGGTGCGGGTGGGGGTTATAGAGGTGAGGGTGGGGGGGTTATAGAGGTGAGGGTGGGGGGGGTTATTGAGGTGCGGGTGGGGGTTATAGAGGTGAGGGTGGGGGGTTATTGAGGTGAGGGTGGGGGGTTTATTGAGGTGAGGGTGGGGGGGTTATAGAGGTGAGGGTGGGGGGGGTTATTGAGGTGAGGGTGGGGGGTTATTGAGGTGAGGGTGGGGGGGTTATAGAGGTGAGGGTGGGGGGTTATTGAGGTGAGGGGTGGGGGGTTTATTGAGGTGAGGGTGGGGGGGTTATAGAGGTGAGGGTGGGGGGGTTATTGAGGTGAGGGTGGGGGGTTATTGAGGTGAGGGTGGGGGGGTTATAGAGGTGAGGGTGGGGGGGTTATACCCACCCCCCTCAGTTTTTCCCTCCTGCAGCCAAACTGGTGCATTGAATGGAAATGATTGTTTGGATCAAAGTTTCTCCGTCTCCTTCGGCTCATTTATTACAGATGGAAACATTTGGTCCTTTTTTCCCTGAATCAGGATTAAGTGGATGAAATTCTTCAGGCTGCAGAAACAAACATTCTCTGGAAAGGCCAAGATGGCCGCCTCAGACTGGGATCAGAGCCTCGTATCTCTGTCCTTAAAGATGGAATCTGTCGCTGGATGTCGGTGGGCGGCGGCGTGGACGTGAGCGCCGCCCTCTGCCGCGTTCATTCATGTGCTAATTGGCGGCGTGAGCCCCCCCCCCCCCCCCCCCCCCCCCCCTGCTTTCTTGGAGATTTGACCAGGATGAACTGTGGGGCTGTCTGATAAAGGGACCCATGCTGGGTGTCCTGCTAAATCGCTGTCTGCACAGTCAGCAGACGTCTAATCCACGGCCTGGGGGGGGCTATTGGGGGGGGGGGGGGGGCGGGGGGGGGGGGGGTTGTACCTGAACAATCACAGAAAAGGATTAGAATAATAAATATGATAAATAACGCCTCTGAATAGACCTGCTTAGTCAGAAGGATCCAGCAGGAAGGCAGAGAGGAACGGTCCGGCTGCTGACTCCTCTGGGCTGGAAACGTGTCGCATCAAACAGAGGACAGATCTAGAGTCCTAGAGTGTGACCTGTTGATGATGATGATGGGGGGAGGAAGGACGCTACCTCTGCCATGTTTGTTTTTTATTTTCTCTTTGCATTAACGGACATTAAAAACCTGACGATCTAGATTTTAGTTCCTAGAATGTGAGATTTACAGAGCAGATGTCTTCAAAGCGCAGCTCTTTCTAGAACATTGTTCATGTTGATTGGTCGACCAATCAGAGTCCTGCAGCTCATTATGGTTTACTGATTGGTTGATGGATGGACTTTATTGATCTCACCGTGGAGAACGTTCCATCAGCTCAAATAGGCAGAGAAGAAGAAGGTTCATACAGAAATAAACATAAAACAGATTTAAAGCAGATTTAAGTTGAAAACTGCAGAAACCAACGACAGACAGGAAGTAGTTCATCCTTCTTTGAACTTTCTGCTTCCTGATAATGAAGTAACACACATCGCTCTGCAGATAACAGACCTGCAGCATCTATTGGTTGCGGTTCTAGGCCACTCTGCATGGGTTTGAAGTGGGCAGCGTACTGCAGCCTCAGCAGGCGGCTGCGCTGCACCTTCAGATGCTAATGGCTCCTTCACAGCCATTAGCGGCTACTAGCCGCATCAGCGTGTCTGCATGCTGCTCCTCATCATTCTCTGCTCATGTAGAGCAGCTGCTCATCATCAGCCTGTTTGTAGTGAAATATGGCCACACTCCTTCATCATCCTCACAGCAGAATGATGTCATAGAGATGACATCATTATTAAATGATGCTTGGAGAAGTTTTCTTTGTTTTATGATCAATCAGGAAGTTCTGGTTTATCTTGACCTGCTTTGGTCAAAGTTTGGTTTCCAGGATGAAAAGCTTCTCTAACCCTCCTCCATGTGCTGCTTCCCTGGTGTGACGCTCATGTGTTTGTCGTTGGCCAGCGGAGGAGATGCCAGCGGTGACCAACGTCACGGTCAGCGACGTGTCCTGGGAGAGTTTCCTCCTGTCCTGGTCTGCTGATGACGGGGCCTTCCAGGCCTTTCTGATCCATCTCACTGACGCTGAGACGGGCGCTGAGTGGCAGAACTACACAGTGCCCGGCGACGTGCGCAGCCTCACGCTCTCAGGCCTCTCCCCCAGCACCTGGTACAGCGCCGGGCTGTACGGGGTGCACCAGGGGGCGCTCTTAGACCCGGTGTTTGCAGACACCATTACAGGTACGATCTGAGTCGGTACTGGGGCCTCCCTCTGTCCTCCTCCTCCCACTCTCTGCTGTATGCTGGGAACACTTTCTGCCTAAATCACAGTCATGGAGACACGCAGTCGACAGAAAACCTCCCTGTAATATCATTCAAAAGCAAAACACAAAATGCAGTTTTTAATGGTTTTATATATTTAGGGTCTACGGAATCCAAACCTCCTCAGTCCTCAGAGAAAAGGTGCTTTTAAAGAAAGATACTCTGGAAAAATGATAATAATAACAGCAGAAAACCTGGAATCAGCTTCACCTCTCAGGCTCTCCTCCTCCCAGTGTTTTACAGGTTCTAATCATTAGCTCATGAAAACAAACCAGCTCTACTTCTGCCAATAAATAAATAGTTGATGTTCTGGTTTTAACTAATCTAGCTTTTTGTGGAGGAAACGTTCTATTTAGAATCAGTGGGAAATTAAACTGGTCCAACTGGTACAAACTGGTCAGAGGTTTGCTAACAGCTCGTTGGAGGTTTCATTAACTTAATTAGTCACTAAAGGTTAGATAGTGGTGGTGAAGGTTAGGGTCAGAGATGAGAAATCAAAGCCTCTATTTTCAACCATTAAAAAAATTTTACTTAATAGATAAAACATTTAAATTGAAAGAAGCTGCAGTAACTAGCAGTCCATCGGGGGGGGGGGGGGTGAACTGTGACATCAGCTGGCGAATGTTTGCAGGTTTCCTCTGGAACATCGTTCTTCTGAAACTTTTCTAAAATCAGACTAATGAGTCCAAACGAGTCTTTCACACTTTCACATGTCAGCATTTATGGTGCGATTATCAGTGAGCGTGTTAGTGAGCAGTGGAGGAGAAGAAAGATGGGGGAGTGAGGCAGGAAAGGCTCTTTTGTCACTTTGTGTGAGGCCTCTCTTCTGTATGCATCCCCACTTCGCTCCAGCCTGGACGCCTCTTCATTCTCATGCTGCCGTTGCCCCTGGGCTCTTGTGCTTCGGTGCCAGGGGCTTCTGGGGCAATGTGGAATATGGCATGTGCTCAACACGGCCCATTGTCTGCATGCTAATGGGGGGGTGAAGCCATCGTACCATTTTTCATTAGCATCACTTAATCCATAAAACATTCCAAGGAGCGAAAGCGACGGCAGACTAATTTGATCACATTATGCGCGGCGGCTGTCGTCAGTCTGCAGGAGGAAGATGCTGAAGGGAAAACTAACATCCTCACTGCAGGAGGAACTAGAGGAGGATTCCAGCTCCTCAGACTATAACTTCAGTTTTGTCTGCATTCAGAAGCAGAAAGTTAAGAGTCATCCAGGTTTTTATGTCTTCAGACATGCCTGTAATCTATGTAATGGGTTAGCTTCATCTGGATTATAGACAGATATAGCTGGGTATCATCAGCATAACAGTGGAAATTAATCCCATGCTGTCTAATAACTCTACCGATTGGGAGCATGTATAAAGTAAAGAGAATTGGTCCTAGCACTGATCCCTGTGGTACTCCGCAGGTAACCTTTGAGCATGAGGAAGATCTATCATTAACATGAACAAACTGAATTCGATCAGATAGATCAGATTTAAACCAGTCTAGAGCTGTTCCTTTAATTCCAACAAAATATTCAAGTCTTTCTAAAAGAATATTATGGTCAACTGTATCAAATGCAGCACTGAGATCCAACAGGACGAGCACAGATACAAGTCCATTATCTGAGGCCATGAGAATATCATTAATGACTTTCACCAGAGCTGTTTCAGTGCTATGATGAGCTCTAAAGCCAGACTGAAACTCTTCAAAAAGTTCATTATGGTGGAAGTGATCGCAAACTTGTTTGGCAACTACTTTCTCAAGAATTTTGGATAAGAAAGGAAGATTGGATATAGGTCTATAATTAACCAAGTCATCTGGGTCAAGAGACTGTTTCTTAAGCAGAGGTTTAATTACAGCAACCTTAAAAGTCTTTGGTACATATCCCTGTAACAGAGATAGATTAATCACATCTAAAATGGAGGAGGAGATCAAAGGGAATACCTCCTTAAATAACCTGGTTGGAACTGGATCTAACATACAAGTTGAAGGCTTAGATGAAGACAATAGTTTTGCTAATTCAGAAAGTTCAACTGGATCAAAGCACTCTGAACCCGGTTCAGATTCCATGACTACCTCAGATACAATCGCGGATAGAGGAGTGCTTATGATCTTATTTTTAATAAGATCAATCTTATTTATAAAGAATCCCATAAAATCATTGCTGCTAAGAGCAGGTGGAATGGACGGTTCAACAGAGCTATGGCTCTGGGTGAGTTTGGCAACTGTATTAAAAAGAAATCTAGGATTATTCTTATTCTCCTCTATTAATGAGGAGAAGTATGCTGCTCTTGCTTTACAAAGGGTCCTCTTATACAGCAGTAAACTATTTTTCCAGACTAGGAAGGACTCTCGCAGGCCTGTGGAGCGATATTTTCTCTCCAGTTTCCTAGCATTTTGCTTCAAAGTACGCAGCTCTGCATTAAACCAAGGAGCAAGCTTTCTATTTTTAACAGTTTTTATTTTCAAAGGAGCTGCGTTATCTAAGGCAGTACGCAGAGAACTAGCAACCCCATCAACAAAATCATCAACCTGTGAAGGGGAATAAGCTATGCTTTTGCACTCTGCAGCACTGCTCAGCGACACAGAGGAGAGAGAAAGAGAGAGAAAGAAAATTTATAACTGCTCTATCTGATAAAGATCTACTAAAATTGAACCTTCTTTTGGGGGAGGAGAACTCTGATAAAGTAATCCTGAAGGTTATTAGAAAGTGGTCAGAGAGGACAGGGTTGTGAGGAAATACTGTTATTTCTTCACATTCTATGCCGTATGTCAGCACAAGATCCAAAGTATGAAGATGAGAATGTGTGGGACTATTCACATTTTGAACAAAGCCAATAGTGTCTAAGATAGCATTAAAGGCTGCTCTTAAGCTATCGCCTTCAATGTCAGCATGGATGTTAAAATCTCCCACTATGATGACCCTGTCAGTATTTAATACCAAATCAGAAAGGAACTCTGAAAACTCATCTAAAAATTCAGAGTAAGGACCTGGTGGACGATACAAAGTTACAAAAAGAAGAGGTTTTCTGGCTTTGAAATTTGGATCAGGGAAATTAAGGGTTAAATGTTCAAAAGAGTTGTAGGTATTAATTGTTTTGGGAGTAATCAGTAAGTCAGACAGGAGGATTGTTGCTACTCCTCCTCCTCGCCCAGAACTTCTGGGGATGTGAAAATTTAAATAGCTTGAAGGAGTTGCCTCATTTATGCTCACATAATCCTCTTGCTGCAGCCAGGTTTCTGTAAGGCAACACAAGTCAATGTGATTATCACAAATCAAGTCATTAACTAGCAGACTTTTAGAGGAAAGCGATCTAATGTTAAACAGACCGCATTTAATCGTTTTAACTTTTTCCCCAATTGGAGTTATTTTGATTTTAATTAGATTATCATGATTTACTCATTTGGGAATATTTTGCTAATTTGTTTAAAGGGAAAACTAACATCCTCACTGCAGGAGGAACCAGAGGAGGATCCCAGCTCCTCATCTCAGCTCCTGCTGCTGGTTTAAAGTAACGGGAACAGAGCTGAGCTTCTGCTTCTCAGAGGCGCCCTGGCTCTGCAGCACGCCGCCTCCCATAACATACTCTTTTTGTGAGCAGAGCTCACAGGTTTGGTGGCGGGGTGGGGGTGTGTGTGTAAGGGGGGTGCAGAGGAAACCTGCAGTAAGCTAGGCCATGTTAGCTGATGGATGCAGCCCTCCCTCTCCTCCACTGACCAGTTAAAGCCGCCCGCTGGCTAATGAAGAGTGACAGCTCCCTGGGATTTGTCGGCTATGCTTCTCATTTCCACCACTACTTCTCACCAGCGATGCCTCATGCTTTTCCCTCCTCACAATGAAGAAAGGGGGTTCCAGGCTGGTTGGAGGACCCCTGAGACCCCTGCATTTGGAGCAGTGTTTTAATGAGCAGTGGGCTTTATGAAGCCTTTCCTGTGCTGCTTCCACAGCTCTGGCCGCTGTTTCATCTGCAGCAGGAAGCAAATCTGCTAACTGAGATCCAGCAAACAGCGTTTCCTCAGACGTCTGCCGTCAGCGCCGGCCGTCATTAACCTGTGGAACGCTGAGCTGCGGCACAGCGTTTGGAAAGTTTGGCACAGAACTAGAGTTTTAGGATTTGTTTCTGTGATCTAATCAGACAGAGCAGAACATCACTGATTTATTTCAAACAGAAATCCCAAAAGTTGCTTCTGGATTTATCTGTAAACCTTCTGAATCAGGAATCAGTTCCTGCTGCAGCTGCATGTCTTCAGGGGGATGAATCTACCAGCCTGGTTCATCAGAAACTTCAAAGCAACCCTGTGTGACCTTTGACCCCATGATCAGCTCAATCTGAGCTCCATCCAATGACCCCCAGAGTATCGATGCTCCTCTGTGACCTCAGAGGGTCGATCTGTCTCTGAATGGGTCATGTGACCCGGAGCGCCACATCCTGTCAGTCTCCCAGCTAACAGCTGTTAGCTCTGAGGGACTCCAGGATTCTAGACCTGCTGGTCCAAACTGGTCTGATACCAGAACCAGAACATAAACTGGGTCATTTAGAGAGAGAGCAGCCAGTGGCCTGCAGGGGGCGCTGAACCTTTCATCTTTAATCTGCTGACTGTAGATGAAGCCTCCATCTGTTTTTAGCTGCATTGCTGCGTTCCATCAGCTCTGACCAGCTATCCTCCTGATAGGGGTCAAAGGTCAGTTCAGCAGCAGCCTCCATGTCTTTTCTGGGTTAAATGTTTTAGAATTAGGGCCTCTGATGGCTGTCCTTCAATAACAGCTCAGAGGACAGATGTTTTAGTATTTTGCTGGATTGTTTAGCCATGCCTCACATGTCAGGAAACAACAGCTCCATCTTTCCGTTTTCCTCCCACTCTGAGGACCCAGACCGATTCACTCTTCCCTTCTTCCAAGGACCTTCATGTGTCCACCTGTCCTCTCAGTCAATCCATCCAAACAGCAAACTGACTCTCCCTAAATGTCACATAGAGACCGAACCAGAAGTGCAGGCTCTCCAGGTGTCCAATGTGACTGCTGATGGTTTTACGCTGGCCTGGACGGCGGAGGAGGACGCCTTCGACACCTTTGTTCTGATGCTTATGGCGGCCGAGGACCCCAGCCGACCAAAGGAGCTGGTTCTGGGTGGCGAGGAGAGAAACGTCACACTGAGCGATCTGATGCAGGACACCGAGTACAATGTTGAGGTGTTTGGGCTCATTTTGGGCAGACGCTCCAAGTCTGTAAGAGCGCGGGTGAGAACAGGTACATGGTGGAAAGGAGCAGCGCTGCTGAGGTCTGCCAATAAAGTCCATGTGGATCCATGTCTCGTCTTTTGTTTTTTCTCTGACTGCATGGAGAGATGTTGTCTAACAATCTGTGTCATATGTCTACATGTATACTAACATGGTGCTTTTGACTTTAAGGGTCTGCCTGTGGTGCTGCGTTCAGGTTCAGGCAGGTTCTTTAATCAGTGGAATTAAGCTGATAATGAGGCATGAAATGTGTCCAAAGGTCTAACCTCTAATGATCTGAGGCTGTTCTAGTCGACTATCCTGGTTCTGAGCAGAACGTTCATCACTGCCAGGGGCGTTGGATTAGTTTTAGGATTTTAAAGACGCGTTTTAATGAAGATTTTAATCAACTGTTTTTACCATATTACTGGATATTCGGCCATAATGCTCGACCTCGGTTACAGTCGTGTATTTATGATAAATCCCAGTGTTGGATAGAAACTAGGGCCTTTCAGAGGAAAGACGTCTGCCTCCAACTATTCCTAGAACTGTTTTAATTCATGTTTAAACATTAAAAAGAGTCTTTGAGAGACAAGGAGTCACAGATTCAGCTGCAATATAAACACTGAGCCTACTGCAGGGTATGGTGGTGGCTACATCATGCTGAGGGCTGTCTGTCAGGAACATCGCCAGCTTTAAGGATCTGGCTGGCGGTGTGTGAGGGGGATCTATCCATGGTCCTGATTTCAGCCGATGAGGATAAATGGCGCCTCCCCAGGAGCTGGATCTGTTTCCAGGTCAGCAGCTTAAACCGCTCCAACATCTTCAGTTAACCAACAGAACCAGGTCTGGACTCTGCAGGTGTCTGCAGCTTATCAGTGGTAAACAATGTCGGCCCTAATATTGCTGCTTTCCTTGGGATACTACAAACAAATGAACTCACAGTTTATGTTAGAATATTTAAGTTTGAAGTTTCCTCCAGGTCAGGGTCCAGCTTAGAAAGTTCAGTCTAGGCAACAGGATGTGACGTCTGCTAGAAGATGTTTCGCCTCTCATCCAATAGGCTTCAGACCATCAGAACCCTCTAACGACCTTTAACCCCCACTGTGACCTCCATGGCCAATCCAGTATGAGGGATAATTCCTCCTAATTCTTCATTAGACCTACAGCATATTAATCTTTTACTTTATTCCATGGAAATAAAGTGAGTCAAAAAGTTATTTTTATTTTAACTTACTGAAAAAGTTTGAGGTAATCAGTTTCCCTCTAAAGTTTGGATCTTCTGAACTCTTCGGGTTTCCATCATGGAGAATAATCATTGACTTTTGAAGCCAGTTGTTGTTTTAAGATTCGCTGAAGCTTTTTTTTCGTCTATTTTCTGGAAAAGAGCAAAAGAAAGGAAAACGTGGACCGGGATCCGGACCGTAGATGTTCTACTTTAGGCCTGATGTTCATCCAGAAGATGGAAACTCGTCTAGCCTGGCAGAATAATCATGCTGACGTGACTCTCAGGACATTTAGCTGCTCTTCCCTTTGTATGTTTTGTGACCCCCCCCTCCATTGTCGGGGTGGGTTGGTTGTCCCTGTCTGTCCCGTGCCCTCCCTAAGGGCAAGGCTTTACTCTTGGGTTGCGGCGCATGTTTCACTTTGTGTGTTCCATGAAATGAGGGCAAGTTAATCTCCTTCAGGTCTGTCACGCGACATCCTGCGGCGGGCCGCTAACTGAGGAGGGTTTCTGTGAGCCCTGCCCTCCCCATGTCCCCTTTGTCTGTGTCTCCAACTCTCTTGCTCCATCTGTGTGAAGGATTGCCTTTCATTGGGGGATCTGCACAGGCTACTATAACCGCTCTGCTGGTGTGTCGTTTCCTGTCTGCTGCTTCAGTTGTGTTCATATCAGCTCCACCAACATTCAGACCCAACATTGACTGACACCTGTCATTTTCTATGTCCTCTGTGCCAGACCTCGGCTCTCCAAAGGGCATCCGCTTCTCCGGAGTGACCGATACGTCCGCCACCGTCCACTGGCTGACTCCCAGGGCCCGGGTGGACCGCTACATTGTCACCTACATGCCTGCTGATGGAGGTCTGGATCTACGCTTCCATCAGCCTCACACCTGATTCTGATTGTTTTCAGTTCTGGGAATATCAGTAATTCACTATTACACTCTGATCAATATCTGTGGCAACAGGGAAACCTTCATGTCCAATAATCCTGTCATCTCAAGGAGTAGTCCAGTGCTGCCCCCTGCTGATCGTGTGACAGAATTACAAAAATGAATTAAAATAAAATCCTGGTAGTTTGAGAATAGACCGGGGATAATCCAGGATGTTTGGTTAACAATGGTGACAGGAAGTGAGGAAACAGCAGTAAAGATGTTAGACCTGTGAATTCCTGCCTCAGGTGAAAGTCGAGAACAGAAACAAGATGGTGGAAATCTGGAAGTAAACGTCTAGATCTTCTCCTACATCAGTTTCTGGGTGATTTATTACTGAGTGGTTTGACCTCCCAGGTGTGGCCAAGACCCTGACAGTGGATGGCTCCATGTCACACACCGTCCTGCCAAACCTGACGCCTGGGGTCACCTATGAGGTCATCATCGTTGCTGTCAAGCAGGAGAGAGAAAGTGAGCCTGGATCTGACAGCGTCACCACAGGTAGCCTGACACTCAGCATAGAAAAACAAAAGCAGAACTCAGACCTTCCTGGATCTGACTCCTTTCATCCTCACCGTGTGTCTTTGTGTTACAGCTCTGGATAAGATCCGTGGACTGACAGCAATCAACATCACAGACACTGAGGCCCTACTGCTGTGGCAACCCGCCATCGCCACCGTAGATGGTTACGTCATCACATACAGCGCAGACACTGGTAGGTTAAAGCTCAGACACCCAACAGCTGACCATGGAGATCTGTTTACAGCGGATCCCAGTTAGTGACCCATCGGGTTCATCCTGTAAGCCAGTCGTCTCATCATCTGGTTCTCACTGGCTTCAGGTTGGAAGTTAGCAAATCCAACCATTCATTGTTTTTATGGACCTGAAACAGGCAGTAAGCAGCAACTCCAGATATTCAGTCATTCAACAAGTCGATGTAAAACAGAAAAATGGATAAAATATAAGAAAGAAGTATAAAACCCTCAACATGTCAGCTGGTCAGCATCAGAGGGAGGAAGCTGTGTGGTTCTGGTTGGATGGTACCATTTGCCTGGTCAGAACCTTAAAGCAGCAGAGCAGCTGATGAAGCTCAGTCGTGTTCCTGCTGCGGCTCTAAAACATCCTGGACCGTAGCCTCTCAGAGCCATGTGGTCCGCTCCATTCCAGCGGTGGCTCCAGGCTGAGGTTCTGCCTGGTTCCTCAGAAAGGGCCCTCTGCTGGGTCACGTCAGCTGATCTCAGAACAACTGCTACAACCCCACTCCGCTTCCAAACAGCCGTTGCCATATGTTCCTGATCAGACCTCAGGCTGGAAGTCTTCCTCACCAGTATGTCTCTCTCTGTGGATCCAGTGACTCCAGTGATGGAGCGTGTGTCAGGAAACGTTGTGGAGTTTGAGATGAGCTCCCTGAAGCCAGCCACACTCTACACGGTGAAGGTCTACGCTGTGAGGGACTCAGCCAAGAGTGCAGCCACTACCACGGAGTTCACCACAGGTCGGTGCCCCCCCCTTTAACCCCTGTATGATGTAATGTATGTTAGTGTGAGGTAGGACACCTCCCTGACTGGGAGTGGAGTCTAATGGGCTCCCCTGTCTTTAGATGTTGACGCTCCACAGGACCTGGCGGTCACCAACATCCAAACAGAGAGCGCCATGCTCACCTGGAAGCCCCCCCGCGCTGACATCACTGGCTACCTGCTCCACTTTGAGTCTGCTGTCGGCACCATCCATGTGAGTTGCCAGCAGGTCTGCTCTCTGAGCAGAAGCTTTCCTCCATCACTGGGAGCAGTGAGTAGATTGATGCTGTGTCTCTCTGCCCTCAGGAGGTGGTTCTAGGTCCTACCGCCGTGTCCTACAACATGGCCGACCTCAAGGCTTCCACAGAATACTCCGTTAGGATGGAGGCTCTGGCTGGTCCCAAGAGGAGCCAAGTGGTCTCTACCATCTTCACCACCAGTGAGTCAGTTGCTACGTGTTGCTGTGACTCAGCTGTCCTTCAGTAGGACCAGTTTTAAAAGCCATGACAGTCGAAATCAACGCAGACTGAAGGGATTCTCAGCATCACATGTTCTGCATGTGTCCAGTTATTAGGGTCACTGTTTCTGAACAGATTACATTTATAGCTCATATATTTTCATATATTAGCGATTTCCTCTATTAAACAAATAATTTCATACAAACTACTAATGTCTGCATGATCTAAACTGACCTGCTATGATCGGACCCGACCCGACCTAATCTGATCTAATCTAATCTGACTGGATCTGATCTGTGATTCTAGCCGGCGTGCTGTACAGACACCCCAGGGACTGCTCACAGGCCCTACTGAATGGCGACACCTCATCAGGTGTTCACACCATCTACCTGGGAGGAGATGAGAGCCAACCCCTGCAGGTCTACTGTGACATGAGCACCGATGGAGGCGGCTGGATTGTAAGTCAGGAGCGTTTATCTAGCTTTTTATCCACTCTTTCAGGTTTAGTTCCTGGCTGTTTTCTCAGTGTTTTTCTCCTATGAGGCATAAACAGGTCAATGTGAAAAAGATAAAACTCTTCCTACAGCCACTGGTGGTCAAACCCTGAGAGGTCACTGCATGGAAGGAGGAGCCCGAGGTGTGACTAAAAGCTGAATGAATCAGGAATCAGGCACAATAATCAGCCAGAGGGTCCAATAGTCAGCCAGAGGGGCCAATAATCAGCCAGAGGGGCCAATAATCAGCCAGAGGGTCCAATAGTCATGCCATAGGGTCCAATAATCAGCCAGAGGAGCCAATAATCAGCCAGAGGGTCCAATAATCAGCCAGAGGAGCCTATAATCAGCCTCTGGCAGAAGCAGTAAATGATTGGCCAAGGCTGTCCCTGGAGGCGGGAGCAGCAGGTGATTGTGAACCAATCAGAGTGGTTTACAGCAGGAGTCTGTGACTCAGTCAGTGTTTAGCAAACAGTTTGATCCGCCTGGTTTTGTTGTGTTTTGCAGGTCTTCCTGCGGCGTCAGAGCGGCAGGCTGGAGTTTTACCGTAACTGGAAGAACTACACGGCTGGTTTTGGTGACATGAACGATGAGTTCTGGCTCGGTAATTTCTCTCTGATCAACTGATTAACAAAATATCAACTGTTTTCAAGGCTGCTGTGTTGTTATGATCAGTAACAGAGGCGGTGTTTCAAGCACTGAATGATCATTCTTGCGCATGCGCAGGTCAAGTATTAATGACAACAAAGTCACCTGTGACCTGCCGGGGACCCACATGACTATTTCGTCACATGGCACCCGCCGTTCAATCCCTTTTGTTCTTCTCGCGCACAGGTGTGGTCATGTGCAGCTGGTTGCTTCTGTGTGTACCACTGTTATCCCAGCTGCTTGTTGCCAGTAGCCCCGTTACCGGGTTTGGTCGGAGCTGCGGGTAAGTCTCGCCCTCCAGGGGCTGCACAAGAAGGGTTTTTTTTTTCTTCACCTTTACCAGATCTGCAGTCGCTTCTGTGACAACTGGTAGGTTTTGTTCTCCTTAAATTATTTATCTGACTCACCAGTAGTGTTACTGCTCGCGTCGAGTTCATCTTTAGTTAATTAATCGGACTCGGGCTAATCACGCAGGCTTCAGCAGTATGATGCTGGATAATCTGTGCTGCTTGCTCCGCTTCAGCGCGATGACTGATGACTGATACCTCGGGGCCTGCGGTCGGTTGTTTTACCCCGGGACAGCTCAGCTTCTGGGCCGCCCACACCCCAGATGTGTAGGTGTTGTCCACTCTGTCCCAATTGGTGGTTTCTTGATTTTGCCTTTCAGGGGTGGCACTTCCAGTTCAGGGTCTTCCCGTTCTGACTTTTGCTGTCTCCCAGGGTGTTCACCTGATGTGTTGCAGCAGCCCTTTCTCCACTGAAGACACAAGGAATAGGGATCCTTAGTGCTCCATCACGTGGGATGCTTGGGTTTGCAGCCTCCCTCACATGAGACTGTGTTCCTGGGCATTACCATGGATTCCGTTTCAATGACTGCTTGCCGGTCTCCCCAGCGGTCGAAACAGCGTATCGAGCATGCTCCTGGAATTCAGGCACAGTGTGGCCCTGCCTCTTGTGCGGTATCTTCGCCTTGTGGGCATGCTTACAGCTGCATCCACCGTAGTGTCCTTGGGCTGCTGTCATTGCAGCCCCTCCAGATGTGGTTAAACAGCTTCGATCTGGACCCCACATGGAACATGCATCGTCTCAGGAGACTCCGAGTGGGGCCTCAATGTCTTCAGTCTCTGTCCCAATGGAGGGAGAGGTCATTATGACGACAGGGTTCCCGCTCAGCTCCCTCCCATGTCATCAGGAGGTTGTGCTCACGGATGCTTCCTTCACGGACTGGGGTGCAATATGGTCGAATTGCACAGGGGACATGGTCCCAGCGGCAGAGCAGGGAACACATAAATGTCCTGGAATTGCAGGCTGTACTTCTGGCTCTTCAGAGCTTTCTTCCAGACTTGCAGGGGAAGCATGTGCTGGTGAGGTCAGACAACACCACTGTGGTTTTTCACATCAACCACCAAGGGGGGACCAGGTCAAGGAAACTGTTGTGCTTGACTCAACAGCTGTTGACCTGGGCAGCTCCGTACTTGGCCAGCCTCAGGGCAGCCTACATCCCCGAGGCGGAGAATGTGCCAGCAGATTTTCTGTCCCGTCAGAAGCCATTTCCGGGAGAGAGGAAGCTTCACTGAGAGGTAGTGGAGCATATCTGGAAGGTCTTAGGCAGGGCGGACGTGTACCTCTTTGCCTCAAGGGATACATTTCACATTCCCCTTTGGTTCTCCTTGGATGACAGCAGCCCTCAGGGCCATGATGTGCTGGCACACGACTGGCCCAGGACCCTCCTCTATGCCTTTCCCCAATTCAGCCTGCTCTTTCAGACAAACCTAAGGGTACATCAGGAAAGGTACAGGTTTCTGCTGGTAGCCCCCTTCTGGCCAGCGAGGACTTGGTTTCCTCTACTGTGTGAGCTGAGCTCCGGTTTGCCAAAGCGTCTCCCCCCAGGAGTGATCTTCTCTCCCAGATGGGGGGCCAGATCTTGCACCCTGAACTGGACCAGCACCAGCTCTGGATTTGGCCCCTGCCAGGCAGGAGTCTACTTTCTCGAGATAGGTAGGGCGTACAATGGCTAACGCATGGGCGCCATCCATGCGGGCTGCCTATGTTAACAAGTAAGCAGTCTTTGCGACCTGTTGCCGTAGTAAGGGACATGACCCGGCGCAGTGTTCAGTCTCTGACATACTGACCTTCCTGCAGGCATTACTGGATCAGGGACGGCCTCCGTCTACCTTAAAAGTGTATGTGGCTGCCATTTCCTGTTGGCATAACAGGCTGAATGGCTGCTCAGTTAGCCGAGACAAGGATGTTGTACTGTTATTTAGGGGTGCTCGGTTGTTGTGTCCATCCAACTGCCCTGTGGCACCGACATGGGACCTATCTCTGGTGCTTGAGGCACTTTGATCTCCCATTTGAGCCCCTGGCATCAGCAGACCTCAAATGGCTCTCAATGAAGACAGCGTTCCTTTTGGCTATGGTTTCCGCGAAGCGTGTGGGTGAATTGCAGTCTCTCTTAATGGCCGAGCCCTGCTGCACCTGAGAATCCCGATGGCTCAGGTGTTACACTGTGGCCTGATGTAGCGTTTATCCCTGAGGTGCCACTGGTAGCGGGCAGTACCCAGCCGCTCCATCTAGCTGGGTTGGACACTGGATGCCCCTCTGAGCCACTGTGCCCTGATTTGCCCCTGAGGCATATATCAATGCCATGGCATCCTTCCAAAAGACAAATAGCCTTTTTGTTTGCTACGCTGGCTCGCGGAAAGATCAGTTACTTTCTAAGGAGCGGCTTGCACACTGGGTTGTGGATTTGATTTCCAAGGCTTATGCCTTGCAGGACCAGCCACTGCCGACAGGAGTGAAGTGTCAACATCATTTGCTACCATGACTGTCACGTTTTGGTTGTGGTTTGGAGGACCCACCTGCAGAGGGAGAGAGGCTGAGGTGAATACTTGTAGTTTTAATGATGAAAATGGTTAACAAAGGCAGGAATCCAAAAATCCAACTAAAAAAGTAACAAACCAGAACCATGGAGACATCAAGGGAAAACATGTACAAGGAGCCAGGGAGAGACGAGGTGAGACGACAACAGCGATGACAGGACCGGCAACAACAAGGAACCAACAAGGAGTGACTGCAGAGGGGGAGTATATGTAGCTGACTGAGACAATGGCAGAGCTAACGAGCTGACAAGGAGCAGGTGTGAGGAGACAACGAGGGAGCCAAGTGGGAAGGGAACACACACAAGAGGGCAACAGAGGAAAACAGAAAAACCTGAGAACTAACATAAATCTACAAACTACAACAAAATAGGAATTAAACCATTAAAACTAGAAAACAAGGAGCAAAGTAAAGCACAACATAACCAAAACCATGACAATGACTGGGGTGCCATTGGATGCTATATGCCGCGCGGACTCCTGGAAATCACTTAGCACCTTAACTCGGTTTTACAGGTTAAATGTGGCTGAGCCCCATCCTCTGCAGGAAACCTGGAGCAGCATGCCTTTACATCACATTAGGTGGGTGGTGTAGGGGTTGTCTCTTGAGTGTTGCCCATTCCTCAAGACCTTGTTGACATAAGTCATCCAGCGCTTGAAGCACCGCCTCTGGTGGTCAGTAGGGATGAAATAGAACGAAAGTCCTGGATGACTGCCAGAGTGCTTGGTCCCTCGGAATATCTCCTTCTTGCGAGAAGATTGAGGGATTGAACGCCGGGTGCCATGTGACTAAATAGAGTCACGTGGGTCCCCGGTAGGTCACAGGTGACTTTGTTGTCATTAATACTCGACCTACGCATGCGCAAGAATGATCATTCAGTGCTTTAAGCACCGCCTCTGCCGGTCATCTGGGATTCATAGAACCGTAGTTATGGTAGTAACTTTCGATAGTGGATGTCAGGGCGTGCTAAGATGGCGGCGACAGAGGTGGTCAGCATGCATCATCTGGGACCATCAGACCTCTTCCTGCTGTTCCCTGGTTCTGCTAAGATGTCTGTTCTGTCGCTCAGGTCTGTCCAACTTGCACAAGATCACATCTGGAGGACAGTACGAGCTGCGGGTTGATCTGAGAGACAAAGGAGAGATGGCCTACGCTCAATATGACAAGTTTTCTGTCTCTGAGCCTCGGACGCGCTACAAAGTCCATGTGGGAGGATATAGTGGGACAGCAGGTATGCTCCGTGCCTTCAGCTACAAGATGAATTTTCTAAAGTTTTCAGTTCTTGAAAACATTTTAAAATGGAAAAATTATCTATCTTTTGATTTTTTTTATTTATAAAGTCAATGTATAAGATGGATGCATAAACACCTCATTTTATTTCATTGTTAAATCCTGTTTAAAGTAACAGATTATAATTAAAAATGTTTCCGGACCTTTACTGGTTGATGATTTTCTTTATTCGGACCCCGCTGATATTTAATTGGTTACTGCTGGTTTAGACTAACCTGCGCTCCCATGTCCGTCCTTTAATGCCAATCAAACACTCTATGATGCTGTACGTGTCACTGATAGAGACTGTCTGTTTTTCTAGGGGACTCTATGACCTACCATCATGGCCGCCCTTTCTCCACCTATGACCACGACAACGACATCGCTGTGACCAACTGCGCTCTGTCCTATAAGGGAGCATTCTGGTACAAAAACTGTCACCGGGTCAACCTGATGGGTCGCTATGGTGATAACAGCCACAGCAAGGTAGGCAGGCTGCAGTCCAACACAGACCTACTCTACCGAATAGAATAGAACACGGTGGAATAGAATAGAGCACAATAGAAAATAATAGAACACAATAGAATGTAATAGAATATAATACAGTAGAACACATTAGAATAGATGCTACTTTTGTCTGGCGGAAGTTCAGCTCAACCCTACAGACACATAAAAGTATTTTAAAAGAAATAAACAGAAAGTAATAATAAAGCACATTAGATAAAAAAAAGCCACTAAATAATAATAATAAACCTGCTGGTGAGACGTGGAACTGCAGTTGGAATGAATGGCTGCTGATGCCCAGAGGGAGTTTTCATTTCCTGCTTCTAGCTCAGCGCCATTGCAGCTAGTCTGTGGCCGTTTCTCAGTTCACTAGAACACAAGTACGGACTTGTGTCCTCACCAAATCCGTTCCTGATTAGAACCCAGGAAAGTCTGAACTCTGGGAGAACGGGAGCACGCAGGATAAATCTGGGTCAACTGGAAAGAAGCGTACTGATGACATCACCACATTGAAAGCTAGTTTGGAGCTGCATCTCACCTCCTGTTATTAATAGTCTCTAGATTATGGGGGGTTGGGCGAGAACAACATCCGGGTATTTAATACGTTCTCGGTCTGGTGTTCTGGTGGCATATCACGAGCACACGAGAACGCTCAAGAACGCATATTGAGAAACGGTCTGTGTTTCTAGATACTGACTGGGAGAACTGGTTCCTTCCTGCCGTGTCACTGTAACAGGATGTGACATCATGACCTTTCACCAATCCCAGAGCGGATGCTGAGGTTACCAACGACCAATCAGACGATGTGATCTTCTGGTTCTAGATTGGCTATGACAAAGGAGGAGATCCATCAGCAGATGTTTGGTTCTTGGAACCCCGGCTGCGGTCTCCGTCCAGATCGCTCTAAGCCGTCATTGTTTAGTCATCCGCTGCTCCTCATTCTGCTCCTTCCTTTCCTCAGGGGGTAAACTGGTTCCACTGGAAAGGCCACGAACATTCCATCGAGTTCGCCGAGATGAAGATCCGGCCTTCAAACTTCAGGAATCTGGAGGGAAGGAGGAAACGCTCCTAAACGACCAACTCCACCACCATCAGCACCACCTCCCTGCCTGGGCTCTCCATAACCCCCTCCCCCTTCTGCACACACACACACCCCCCCACTGCAGCAACCAAAGCCTTGGATGAGACCCCTCCACACCCGGTGCGCCTCCCCCTCCCCCATCTACCTGTTCATCAGCCTCTCCTGTCTGTTTCAATGATTGGATGCAAACACGCCTACCCCGCCCCCACTTCACCCCCCACACCAAAGAGCATCACTGGTCATTATGGGGGGGGCGCTCCAACACCTCGGGCATCATGTGGTGTTACAGTCCGGCTGCTCGTTTCTGATATACTGATCCGATGAATCCGGTTTCTGCCACAGAGCCGTTCACATCTGGACTGCCTCACATCTGGACTTCCTCACATTTCAAACTGAGCTGCATTCTGCTGATGACGCTCATGCTCCAACTGACCCGCCCACACCAGCCACCGTCTGAGCATGGACGGCGGCCATGTTCCTGCTCCTGACCCGTCCCGCTGCAGGCGACACGCTGCAGCTTCTGCTTCAGAAAGTCTTTGTTTCTCTCATGAAATCCGAGGCAGGACCGGTGAGCCACCGGATGAAGACGTGGTCCCCCCCCCTTGCATAATGTGAATACCGTCCTGATATGTGGAGCCACAGGAAGTTTATGTGATGTTTGAAACGTAAAGATTTCAAAAAGGCCAATTTCAATTGAAATTTCAGTGTTTATAGTAAAGTTTCCATGATTTTTAAAAATAGTGTTTGAACTGGTTGAAACTAGTAACTAGTTACTCTTTGTACCCCCCCGTCCCCCCCTGCTTTTTGTAGGTCACTAAACCACTGACGTTGTAAGGAATGCCTGTAAATGATGTTTTCAGATTGTTTTGTCTGTTTTGAAATGCAGTTGTGTCTCTGTAAACTGGAAAACAATAAAACCATCTGATCAAAGGCTGGAATCATCAGAGCGATTCCTGCAGCAATTCCCTGACCCTTTATCAGAGCAGGCTGGAGGACAACCTGACACCCCTCTGGATCTTAGCAACTAAAAAAGACAAAAAAAGTTTGGAGGAAACAACCTAATACTCTAAAGTATCAATTCTAGTCAGTGTATCTCTATAGCTCCAATTCAAATCATGTCATCTCAGGCCACTTTATAGAGATATTTCAACCAGATCATCCAGTCAGATTGATTCAAAATTTTCTGTCTAAGGAAAACCAGCTGATTGCATCGACTCATTGACTCTTCAGCAATCCCTCACACTAAGCATGATTGTAGCGACAGTGGAGAGGAAAAACCCCTGCATTTAATCAGCGATCAAAGAATAGAGAATTTTTTTTCCTATAATAATCCATCCCAGGCCTTGGAGGGCTGGGTTGCTATGGCAACAGACTCTGCAGAAAGTGGGACGAGGGAGACAGGCTCTACACACAGGGTGTGAAAACAAACCAGATCTTAACGAAATGACCAAATAGTTCAATGTTTAGAAATAAAAATCATCTTCATGTAAAGCACCAATTAGAGAAAAATGTCCGCTGGCCTCAATATTTTCATGCAAAGCTTGGAAACTAAGCTGACTGGACTTTGCAGCAACCACCAGGGTTAGGATCTGCTCTCTGGTGGTTTGGTTAACTAGCAGCTCCAGGTTCTCCAGGTTCTCCAGGTTCTCCTTTCCCTCCTAAAGCCGTTATAGAGCAGCGTAACCAGACGAGCTCCAGGCTGGATTTCCAGTGAGAAAGAAACTATCAGGCAAAGTGAAGTGAAAGTATCAGCAGGTTTATTCAGCTTCACAGCATTCAGCCTCCATCAGACACACATTCTCTGCTTTAAATAGACACAGCTGATGGACTGAACCATTTACATGACATTTAACTCCTCCTCATTTCCATCTAAAAGCAAAAATCAATCAAATATATGCTCAGATTTAGGGTTATTTATTATGAACATTTTCTGATTTAAACTTAAACACAAACAGCATAGAAATCCCACAAACTATGTGCACAACTCCCCCCATATTTCCCATGGTCTCTCCCAGAAGCAATAAATGGAGTCTGAACCCCTGGAGAGTCCACAGACAAAAACAGGTGAGTCACTTTCTGAGCACCACAACACTTCCTCTGAACTCACCTCCAACACATTCTACGCTGACACATTCTACACTGACACATTCTACACTGACACATTCTACACTGACACATTCTACACTGACACATTCTACACTGACAGCTTCTACACTGCCAGATTCTACACTGACACATTCTACGCTGACACATTCTACACTGACACATTCTACACTGACACATTCTACACTGACACATTCTACACTGACACATTCTACACTGACAGCTTCTACACTGCCAGATTCTACACTGACACATTCTACGCTGACACATTCTACACTGCCTGATTCTACACTGCCTGATTCTACACTAACAGCTTCTACACCAACAGATTCTACACTGACAGATTCTACACTGACACATTCTACGCTGACACATTCTACACTGACAGCTTCTACACTGACACATTCTACACCGAGATTCTACACTGACAGCTTCTACACTGCCAGATTCTACACTGACACATTCTACACTGACACATTCTACACCGAGATTCTACACTGCCAGATTCTACACTGCCAGATTCTACACTGACAGATTCTACGCTAACAGCTTCTACACTGACAGATTCTACGCTAACAGCTTCTACGCTAACAGATTCTATGCTAACAGATTCTACGCAAACAGATTCTACACCAACAGCTTCTACACTGACAGCTTCTACACTAACAGCTTCTACACCAACAGATTCTACACTAACAGCTTCTACACCAACAGATTCTACACTAACAGCTTCTACACCAACAGATTCTACACTAACAGCTTCTACACCAACAGATTCTACACTAACAGCTTCTACGCTAACAGATTCTATGCTAACAGATTCTACGCAAACAGATTCTACACCAACAGCTTCTACACTGACAGATTCTACACTAACAGCTTCTACACCAACAGATTCTACACTAACAGCTTCTACACCAACAGATTCTACACTAACAGCTTCTACACCAACAGATTCTACACTAACAGCTTCTACGCTAACAGATTCTATGCTAACAGATTCTACGCAAACAGATTCTACACTAACAGCTTCTACACCAACAGATTCTACACTAACAGCTTCTACACCAACAGATTCTACACTAACAGCTTCTACGCTAACAGATTCTACGCTAACAGCTTCTACACCAACAGATTCTACACTAACAGCTTCTACACCAACAGATTCTACACTAACAGATTCTACACTAACAGCTTCTACGCTAACAGATTCTATGCTAACAGATTCTACGCAAACAGATTCTACACTAACAGATTCTACACTAACAGCTTCTACGCTAACAGATTCTATGCTAACAGATTCTATGCTAACAGCTTCTACGCTAACAGATTCTACGCTAACAGCTTCTACACCAACAGATTCTACACTAACAGCTTCTACACCAACAGATTCTACACTAACAGATTCTACACTAACAGCTTCTACGCTAACAGATTCTATGCTAACAGATTCTACGCAAACAGATTCTACACTAACAGATTCTACGCTAACAGATTCTACGCTAACAGATTCTATGCTAACAGATTCTACGCAAACAGATTCTACACTAACAGATTCTACACTAACAGCTTCTACGCTAACAGATTCTATGCTAACAGATTCTACGCAAACAGATTCTACACTAACAGCTTCTACACCAACAGATTCTACACTAACAGCTTCTACACCAACAGATTCTACACTAACAGCTTCTACGCTAACAGATTCTATGCTAACAGATTCTATGCTAACAGATTCTACGCAAACAGATTCTACACCAACAGCTTCTACACTGACAGCTTCTACACTAACAGCTAGTGATGGTGAGATGAAGCCTCATTGAACCGTTTGGCCAAATTGCTTCAACGATCCCCACAGTTCATGAGGCTTCATGTGAACATGTCACCACATACTGGTGGACAGCAGAACTACAGTTTGTAATAAAATCTGTGAATTCTTTTGCAATTGTTTTTCTTTTTTTTTTCCCTTTTCAGTTCCCTTGAAATTGTTAATGGTTGGTGTGTATAATAAAATCTTTTGTAAGTTTTTTTTAAGTGTAAAATTTCTTATAACAATCATTTAAGGTGCACAGTTTTTCTGCTATTTTAGTGAAATAAACTCAAGCAGACAGTGAAAGTATTTGTGCAAATTGGGCATGATGAACAAAATGAAAGGTTTTTAGTAATTTTTTTTTCCCAAACATGATTTTTTTTTCCATTTTTTTTGGTTTTAATCGGGTTTGAGGTTATTTTTAAACCCAAAAATTTTTGGCTAACCCAACCAAATTTTCCCCAATCAAATTTTTTAAAAACTCGGGCAAAACAAATCCCAAAATCCATCACCCAAAAATAATTAATTTTTAATCGCAACTTTCAAAAAGGAGACGGGTTCTTAAACCCAAACAACCTCTGGGGTTGAGATTTCCCCCTCTTACAAAAGGACGCCACTCAAAGAAAAATCTGATCTGGGAAAAATCCCTTCTTAACACTTCCCCCCTTTAAATTTTCACCCAAAAGGAACCCTTCCTTTTTTTGGATTAACGGGGAGTGTGAAACTTTTCCCAGAGGACCCCAAATCTGAAGTTAATTTTATTTTCCTCTGTGATATCTCTGAAATTTTAAGAAACTCTAACTGATTTACTTGAAAACATAGAAACCTTCTGCTGCATTTTTTCTACTGGGGCATTTCCCTTTTTTTCACAGGGTTTTTTTTTTCTGATAGCAAGAAGTAGCTACCCTTAGGCTAGGCTACCCTTAGCATTGCTTTTGGCTTCTCTCTCTCCCTCCCTTGACTCTTTTCCAACTTTTTTTCCTTCTTCCTCTCCCCCTCCTCCTGCTCTCGGGGTGTCAGATGTTCATTATTCCTCTGCCCCTTTTTAGTTTAAGGGGGATTTTTAAAAAATAAGTGTATTATTTTTGTAGTTTTGGGGAGGGAGGGGGGTTCAATTTAAAATAATCCGGGCTTCGGGCCCTGTTAAAACATCCGGGAGAAAATTTGTAGGCCCCCCCACGTAGCTGTCCTCCAAAAGTGCCTGAGCACCAGGCGATTGGTAACTGAAACCAGAAAGCTAGTCGGGGAAACCCTCTGCCCACGGGGTCCCACCAACCCCCTTTCCCCGTTTCTAACCTTTTTCCCCCTCAGTGACAACCCACTGAAAGCCCACCTGGTGTTTGCAGCCCCATAGCCCAAAAACGTGGCATTAGAGACCCCAGGGACCATAGCAAATTTTCCCGGGGGGCCAGAACGGGCGACATCAAATCCTCCCCTGAAACTACGGGCTAAGGAAAAGGGGTTTTAAATCATTTAAGTTTGTTTTTCACGCTGGGGGTAATGAAAAACCCTTACGCCGATGGGTGGGTCACTAAAATTAGGTTGCTTGTTTGGGTTGAAATTTTTGCCAAAAAAATGTGGGAAACTCCGAAATTTTTCTCTGGCCCCTCCCTGTCTGCCCAAGTGATACATGTTTGGGCCCCCCATGTCGTCATTAAAAAACCGCGGGTTTTCCAAAGGTGTGCCCTGAAAACTACGGGGGCAAACATTAAAAATTTGGGCAACCCCTTTTGGGGAAAAAGCCGGGTTTCTAAATTCGGGGGAGACGGCACCCCACCCCATTTTTTGGATGGGGGCAGCTCTTCTTTCTAGGAATCGGGCCACATTTATTATCCTCCAAAAACCCCTGACCCCCGGGGGTGCAGACCAGGAAGCAAGTTGTATTTTAAAACACCATCTCTGAAAGCTTTCCTCAAAAATTTTTGGGGTGTACCCCCACCCCTTTATTTTCCAAAAATCCAACTTTCCCCCACGAAAAAAATCTAAATAAATTAAAAAAAAAAAAAAAATTTCCCAAAAAGTAAAAAAAAAGAAAAA